TAGCGGGGCATCGTCGGAAACAGCGCTGTGACTGGTTCGGCAGAGGGCGTCTGGGGGGCTGCTCGGTGAGGGATCTCAGATTCTCGGTAAGGTCCGGTCTGGGTGACAAGAAGCCAGTGGGTCCCGGTCAACCTCGGTGAACATCACGTGCTGATAAGCCGCGCTGACGTCTGTGAGCACCCCCGATAAGCTTCTTTCGCGGCGAAGCAGGCGCCGACGATGTGTTGCTGCTTCCATTCATCTCATCTTTGCCCATTTTCAACTTTAACGACAACGAACATCCTCCTTACTTGACAACTCACCTCAACGCCTCAACCTTACGATCGACGCAAACATGGACCCGGGCCGCAGAGCTATGATTAACTCTGGGCGCAGATCCCCCAGTCGCAGAGACCGCGAACGCGAAAGAAGCATCACCTCCCCCCGGCGCGACTCCAACAACCGCATCTCAAAGCCCTCCAACCCTCCCCCGTCTTCGAGGTCACGTCAAAACAACAACAACAACAACAACAACAACAACCACACGAGCTCGAGCTACATGACCCAGGACGAGCAGTCCCGCCAGTTTGTAGCCGACGAAGACAAGTTCGTCTTGAAACAGGCCAAGAAGAAGGCAGACATTCGGGTTCGGGAAGGCCGTGCCAAGCCCATTGATCTCCTCGCATTCAATCTGCGCTTTATCGATACCGATCGCGACGTATTCGACGACGACGATGCCGACCTGCATCTCAGCGTCCCCTCCCCAGAGAACGTCTTGCAGGGCCTCGACGAATCACAGCTGAAAGAGCTGGATTCTGACATCACGTCCTACCACACCCTCGAGACCAACGGCCGTAACCGCGAATATTGGAAGTCGTTGCAAACAATCTGTGCAGACAGGCGGCAGAAACTGAAACCCCAGGGCCCAGACGCTCGGGTCGTCAGCACAGTGTCAGACGACGTCGACAAGATCCTGCGCCCCAAGACCTACGAGCAGCTTGAGGCCCTCGAGGCCCAGATCAAGGCCAAGCTTCGCTCCAACGACGACATCGATGTCGACTACTGGGAGCAGCTTCTGCGCAGCCTGCTTGTCTGGAAGGCCAAGGCGAAGCTCAGGAAGGTGTGCGAAGCAATCAGCGAGAGCAAGGCCGACATGCTCAAGCTGCAGGATCCTGACAAGGCAAAGGCTCTGGGGCAGCAGGCCCTGCAAGCCGAGTCTATTTCCGGACCTGCAGCAGTCAGGAACATGTCATCTGAGCCTGTTAGGGCCGAAACAAAGGCAGTGTCTGTTTCATCAGGACTCCAGGGTGGCGCGCCACCAGGAACGGCTCGCTTTGCGCAGACCGGCAACGAAGACTTCTCCCAGGCTACCAAGGCTCTCTATGACCGCGAGGTCGCCCGTGGCATCGGCGAAGACGAAGAGATTTTCACGGCCGAGGAGACTGTGCCGAGTGGCTCGAAGCCCCAGTGGGCAGACAAGCACCGGCCGAGAAAGCCCAAGTACTTCAACCGTGTTCAGATGGGCTACGAATGGAACAAGTACAACCAGACTCACTACGACCACGACAACCCGCCGCCCAAGGTCGTTCAGGGCTACAAGTTCAACATCTTCTACCCTGAGCTGATCGACAAGACCAAGGCACCCACCTTCAAGATTATTCGAGAACACGGCCGGAAAAGGGGAGAGTCCTTTGCAGCTGCAGGGGAGGAGGACACGTGCCTCATCCGTTTCATTGCGGGACCTCCGTACGAAGACATTGCATTCCGAATCGTGGACAGAGAGTGGGATTACAGTGCAAAGAAGGATCGCGGCTTCAAGAGCTCTTTCGACAAGGTGAGTGTTGTGGCGTTCCCTACACTGTCTACACGTGGTGTCCCAGGCGCCCTTTCACTCGTGGCGGAGTCGTCTTGCATATGCGAGAGAGCCACAAGGGGGGATGAGAAAGGGGAGAAGGGGGAGGGGATGCTGCCAAAGAGCGCCCGCAGGACGGCGTTTCTTTTTCCAACTCCTCTTCTTTCCCTTCTGGCCCCCAACCTCCATGCAGTTGGAGGAACCGACCCTCCTTGAGCGTCCTCCTCCAATGTCGGGAGGCGCGAGGAGCGACAGTTTTCCGCCAGACCGCCATCTCCGCCCAGTGTCAACACCACCACAACAACACCATACCAGCCGCGACTATCTGACGCGCGCCTCTTTGCGCCCCTGTCACCATTCCATTATTTCATCACATTGCAACCCCATCCACCCCATTCTTGGCCTGAGCTAATCTTATCCTCCCTACAGGGCATCTTGCAGCTTCACTTTCAATTCAAGAAGGTAAGGGACAGGTCCCACTCCATTTGCGATTGTCATGTACTAACAGGCTTCGCGCAGATCTTCTATCGGAAGTAGACGCCCTCAAACGCGGGCTTCTGCTCCTGCCATCAGGCCGCATATCAGATATCATCAGAATCATCCGGGCTGGTGCTCTGGAAAAGCGTTTGGACCGGGGCTCTTGGCCGGCCGGAAGGAAAGAGATCTATCTGGCATCAGGAGAAAACATCCGCCTCACCTTTCACGTATCCGTTGGCGCTCCCACTCTCGCTGGTACCATGTACTCCCGCCGCACGCGCTGCCTTACATACTCACGCCGACGACCGCGACTGACCGCTGCGGGCCGACCTCTGGAAAACACACAATGACGCACAAACGTCCAGGCGACCATAGCTCTCGCCTTCAACTAATCAATTATCTGCTTCTCACCTCCTCGTGTTACCTCCGGAACTGGGGCATCATGCTGCCCCGGTCAAGCTTGCTGTGCCCGTCTCCTGGCCTGACTGCTGGGCCTCCCCAAGATACTAAGTGCTGACATCCTGGACGACCTGATAGAATCTGAAGCACGCTGATATGGGGCATACCCGGTCTGAAGTCGGAGTACAATGGCTGCAGCAGTTGCTGATCTCCACACCATCGCAGATGAATCCACCGTCACCCTGCCACGCCTGCCCCCTCATCAGAGTTAGTGGCTCAACCCCTTCACCGACTAGTGGAAGGGCTGAGGTTGGGGTATCATGAAGAACAGCATGGCCAACATGGCGTTGGCTACACGTCCGTAAGTGCCTGCAACGATCGGTCAACCCTGTGATGCACAATGTGAAGGCAAGAAAACTCGAAACAAATCTCACAGCACGAGCGGCGGCATCTCGGCCCACGCGGGATTGGCGTCCACGGCTTCATATCGTCTGTTCTAAATCTGTTTCGATTCCGCTCTCCCCGCGGACTTCTAGAATGTGTGAATGATCTACAGGATGCGGGTCAGTGTCAGAGGAGCGATCTTGCGGTCGCCTTGCAACCCCTTCTGGGCTGGCACGCTCACCATTGTGAGGCATCGCCCATGGCACAATGGCAGTGATTGGCCGTCTCGCCAAAGACCATGCACGCTTCCGAAGGGGAAATGCTGCCTTCCGGCCTACTGCCCTTCTCCTGGATGCTCACATTTGGCTGGCTAGTTGGCTGGCCTCACTCCAGTTTTGGCAATGACATGCATCGTCTGGTCAAACTGTACCGGTGTACAATGCTCTTGTCATCTTCTGGTAGCTACTCACATCGGCCTAGGGTGGATGTGTGCAACAATCTCTCTGACGGCCCTCGCCTGGTGTTAGCCAGAGCCAGAGCCCGCGGCATGTCAGTAACTTGCCGTTGGTCTTTCGCGGCATTCTCCACTCGCATCCAAGTTGCGTGCGAAGGCCAAATGCTCTGCCCGCCGTGTGCATCATTGTGGTCACTGGAGTAGACCTCCGCTCCTGCTATCAAATTTGGCGTTGCACGCAGACACCCTGGATCATGGGTCGATAAGCTAACGAATGGGCTTACACTTGGTGGCGTTGTTAGCCCCAACGGCCGGAGGAGACCCTCGCGGGAGAGTATATGGAGAGAGGAGAAAAGACAAAGAAGGAATGAAGTGCCCAGAAGAGCTCTGCCAGGCATGTCTCTGCTAGCCAGGAGATACCTAACCTTGACATGGCTGCCATGGCAGGCAGGGCAGGCGGCGAGACTCGCCCAGCTCCCCAGACGTAGCCGAGCCTCTCCAACCGGCACCAGGCTCCAGCAGCCAAAGAATAATGAAGTTCGACCATCCCTGCTCGATGTCACTAACAACAAGAAGTCGCAGAAGCGGCAGCGACAGCAGCAGCCACAACCAAGCCCCGATTCTCCGTTTGTATCAGTCACAGAGACGCAGATTGGCTGCGGCGGATCAGTGCAGCTCGCAGACCTTGATGGGGCCTCTCGTCTAGTTGACACACATACAGCCATACGCACACTACACGCAGGCAAAAGGGAGCAAGCAGACATGAGCAGCAAGAAGAGCACACACTACATCAACATCGACGCACACAAGCATACAGGCACCACACACATAGACACACACACATGGCCGCGGCAACGGGAAGGGACGCTAATCCAGACCAAGCCATGAGCTGGCAGGCGGGCTGCTATCCCCCCGATATCCACATGGCTGTTGGATGCTGGCACCCCTGTCCAACCCCTGTTCTTATTCCTCCACGCCCCCCTCTACTTCGGTACCTCTATCGTGTACCTAGCTTTGTCCTTGTACCTGGTCGACATTGCCAAAAGAGCGACCTACATTCGTCTGCACAACACGACCGTGGGCATTTGGACGAACATCTCCCTCTAGGCTCAGTTTTATCAAGAAGGGTCAGCGACCCATGTCGAGGCCCTCTCTCATCAACTGTCAATGCCTACACCTCCAAGACCAACATCACTAGTCTCATAGCATTAATACCTCTCGTCGTCTCCCTCTACATCGGCACCGCAACCTCGACAGCATTCTTTATCTGATATCATACCTCAGCACATCGTTGCGTGCCCTCGTCATTGTTATTAGACACCTCGACCTCGCTCCTTCACCAGTACAACAACGACCTGTTTCTGCAACGTCTTCTACCCTTCCGTCCACTCCTTGAAACTTCATCGCGGCAAACAACCCTTCTCGTTTCAGTTCATCGCTCTCACCGTCTCTGCAATGACGGCGACGAACGCTCCCACCGCGCAGATGGAAGCCATGTCCGTTCATGAGGGCCTCAACCACCCCGGCCAGTCTCCAGAGCCTCTGTCTATCAGGACAGACATCGCTGGGAATTATTACCCCATGATTCCCAAGCCCACAATCAACGGTCCTCCACAATCATACTACCCCCAACCGCAGCTCTCAGCCCTCAACCAGCACTTTCACTCACCAGCCATGAGCCAACCTACGATGTGGGCTTCTCCTCGTTCCTCCGTGGACGACTTTGACAACTACTCCTACCGCGCTCCGGCTCCTACATCCAACTACCAGGCCGCCTCTCTCTCGCCGCGCACCTGGCCCGACTCCGTGCAGACGCCTCCTCCTCAGTACGAGGTTCCCTTCCACCACCAGGAGCAATATGACGGCCTCCCCAACGGCCACATGGGCATGTCCCCTGAGGCACTTCGCGACTCCTCCCTCAACATTGCCGTTGACTACGGGAACAACAGCTGCTTCCAACAGACCCTCACAGGACCCCACGACATCACACCGATGAAGTACGGCTCACCTCCCCCGATGACCACGACCTGCGCTCCCTTTGTTGCGTCCCCGGCTTCCCTCCAGGACCAGTTCAAGACAGAAAACCACCCAAGCATGAGTCCGAGCCCAACGCCTTCGGTCTCGGGTCAAAGAACCCAAGCTGCGAGAACCCCTCCCAACAGCGGCTGCGGCGATGTTGACAGCGACGCAAAGTTGAACGAAAAGCGCGAGACCAACGAGCCCTATGCCCAGCTTATCTGGAAGGCTCTCAAGTCCCAGCCCGATCGCTGCATGACTCTTCAACAGCTCTACCAGTGGTTCCTCAAGAACACCGACAAGCCAGAGAAGGCCGGCGGCGACGGCTGGCACAACAGCATTCGGCACAACCTCAGCATGAACTTTGTAAGTTCTCTCCTTCTCTCTCATCTGCATGCAGGGGTGTTCTCCAAGTAGCGCTGCATCAAGGCCCACCTTATCGATCCTTTGCAAAAAAGGACCACTGCATAGACTAACACGTCATCCAGGCCTTTGAGAGAATGGAAGAGCTGCCCACGCACGAACTCACCGGCTCCTCAAGCGAACGCATCCCTTCAAAGTGGCATCTCAAGCCCGACTTTGAAAACGGCGTCAGGCCAACCACGCACTACCGCGAGCACCCCCGCAACCCCAACGGCGGTGCTAGGCGCCGCAACACCGACCCCAATCGCCGCCGCGTCGCCAGGACCGCCACCTACCACTCCTCCCCGGAATTCCCAGACCGCACGATGCCCGGCCGCGCCCTCTCAGGACGCCGCGGTGGCCGCGCGACGACCAGCGCCCGCGCCGCCGCCAGGGACCTCCGCATCAACACCAGGCTCGCAGAGCACGCTCAGGGCCCCTGGGTTCCCGGTCACAGCTTCGCCGCCGCGCAGATTGAGATTGTGAACCAACAGGCGGAAGAGAAGAGACGGCGCAACCGCGACGCCTCGGCCCGGTTCCACATGCACGCCGCTGAGCGCGAGGCCGAGCTGGCAGCGCAGCAGCAACACCAACACCACCAGCACCAGTACCAGCAACACCAGCCGCCTTACAACTTCGCAGCCGCGCACTACGCCATGAACAACATCGCCGGCGTCTACCAGCACCCCCAACACGCCGCCGCCCCGCAGCACTCTTCCCAGCCCCAGCAGCAGTCCCAGCCGGGGCAGAGCGACAGCGTCCTCTACGGCTGGGGAGGCAGCAACGCCAACCAGGGGATGTGAGCGAGCACTTACCTCCCCTCGTTGCTTCTTCCAACATGCATGAGCTCGCCGCGCGATGTGAAGCAGGGTCCTTTGGCCCGTCACTGCTTCTACTGCTGCGTTCGTCTCCCTCATTCATGGTTTCTTTTTCCTTCTTGATGTCACCGCGGCGGTTGGGACCCTGCGGACTGCTACCACTTCCTCTTTGGGCGGCGTTTGGGGGACAACAGGGGTGTTTGGGTTGGGTGGGTGTTGCTTTTTTTTTTCATGTATGGGTGTGTGTGTGTGTTTCCCTCTTCTCTCTCCATGGGGGGCGGGCATGGGTATCTTTCTGGACAAATCACAATCACAAATCTCGTCTTCACATTTTCTCCTCCTGCGGCACGGACGAGGACAGACGTTGAGAGAGATGGCGGTCTGGGATGAGTGTGTGTGTGTGGGAAGATGCGGACGGCGCAGCCGATCCCGGATCGGCCGTACCCTCCGCTGGCAACTTTCTAAGAAACGAGTATGTCTGCTTTCTGCTCGTTCTGTATCGTTTGTGCCACGACGAACAGCGTACGTCGGTCCTGGTTGTCGGGTTGCAGCTCCCAGTCGACGTTCCATTCGTCAGACCTACCTACCTACCATCCATCCATTCAACCCAGTCCACACACACATCCTCTCTCCTTCTTCTGCCCTGCTGCCCTGAGGAAAAGAAAAGGGCGAACGAACACCTCCCGCCAAGATCGGACCCGGAGCGTTTGGGGGGAAGGGGGAAGAAGATGGAGGGGGGGCGTGTGGTTGGCGCCTCGCACTTCCTTTCTCCACACAGCCATGTACAGGAGGGGGAGGGGGAGGGGAGGGGGGTACAGTGTCCGCGTTTTGACACCTGCAGGGATTGGCGGGTGTGGTGTCTGTCTGTCCTCGAGAGAGAGAGCAGAGAGCAGAGCAGATGGAGCTGTTGGGACTAACAAGGCAATGTTGATCGCACATACAAGTGTGCCATTCCATGCTAGAACGCGAGAAGAGAGGAGAGAGATGGGAGGGGAGGGGAGAGAGGGATGAGGGAAGGGGTGGCGAAAAAACACAACCGGTACTTGCTTTTCTGATCTTGGTTTTCTGTTTCTTTTCACTTTTCTCTGCGAATCTGCGATGATGCAAAAAAGATGACGAGATGATGGTGGTCTTTCTTCTTTTTCCGATCTTTTTTTTTCTCCTTCCACACACACACCCGCAAAAAGATTCTGTGTTTCACGACTTGGCTTTTTCTGTTTTTTCTTCCGTGGGGGGGCATCAGTCGAACAAAAAAAACAACATACACACATCACCATCCATAGAGCGCGTGCAGCCGCTGCTGCAGAAATACCCCCTCCCATCTCCTCTTCTCATGTTATCCTTTTTGGTTCGGTTCGGTCTGTTCTGCTTTTTCAAATGTTTCATAGTCCATCACAGCCTCCACGACGTCTGTACTGATATGGGATGAGAGGCACGTCTGTATTTTTTCCGAAAAAGAATCTAATGAATGACCAAAAATGATCTGCTACCAATGCTTGATGAAACTTGCCTGTAAATGTCAATCGCGCGTGGGTGACGCAGTCAACTCCTGCCTGCCTGCCCCATGCCTATAGTGCGCCGTTCATGTTAGTCACACCCATCGTAGCAGTCTCCTCACCGCGTTGCAAGGACCACGATGGTACAAACGGTAAAACCATGGCTACCTGGGCGTTGACGTCTGGTGATGGATGTGCCAGCGGGCAGCGGGCGCGCATCTTCGCCGGTTCTAGCCCATACGATATCTGCTGTTGCATCACCTCTCATGGTGCCCTCCAAGGCCAGGTCCCCGATCCTGTTCTCTTCGTGCCATTCAAACCCTAGATGGACCCAGTATAATTTACCGACAGAACGGAACCGAAGGATTTGGCAAAGAGCCCTAGAGGCCAGAGGAGGCCTTAGTGCTATCGTGACGGCCGCAAGTCGAGTGCCCCCCGGCACGGGTGTTGGCGTACGTACGGTTGGGGGGCGTGGGCTGGAAGTATCAGCAGGGCAGGGCAGGGCAAGGGCTCCTGTACAGGGCAGAGGAGGTGATCAGAACCACCAGTTGGTGTCGTGGGCTGCTGGTTAGGCTTTGCCAGATCCGATACCCGCCACACGGGTTGATGGGGCTTTGGGAGCACTCGGAGGGTGAGTGATCTGGGAGGATGAGAGCCGGGGTAGAGAAGACGGGGTGGACCAGGGGAGGAGGCAGGAACAAAGAGCAACGGGTGGTGAGGTACAGACACGCCTGTCATCTCCCACGGGCAGCGTGGGAGGGGGTGGGGAGCTGCATCGGGGTGTGGGTGTACAAGATGCTGGAGGACTTGGAGGATCGGCAAGGGACAATAGGAACATACATGAATGACCTTGGTCAGTCCGCGACGCCTTCGGCTGGCGGTGTCAATGTGTATGAGAAAGACCGTCCGTTGGAGGTTGAGATGAGACCAGCCCAACCGAGGGTAGGTAATCTTGCAGGAGGGGACGCATGAGGCACTCGACCAGTCGGTGAGATATCGACCAGACCACTGGTTCTCGCCTCAGGTCCCCGAGTTCGGGCTCTACGCCGCAGGGCTGGAGAGAATTGGAAAGGATTTCCTATCGAAAGAGGCAAGGACGTCGACAGTGGGGCCCAGATCAGAGGGGGTAGGAGTCCAGAGGAAGCTTTTCTCGATGTTCCGAGCGAATTGCTGCTCCCTCGTGGCCTGCCAGGGTCTTGGCATGCCTCCTTGGGAGCTGAGACCCAAAACCATGTATGCGGGGCGGCCTGGTGGTGACAAGATTTGAGATTGCGCAGAATGGAGATGAACCTTCGCGACGAGTGCCGGGGTCTTTGCTGGAGGTGGCACAGACATTGAGGGCAGTGGAGGATGAACAACATTGCGCGTGAGGAAGCTTGCCGCCCAGTAGCCGTATCGTCTATTCGCACTCCGTTGAGACGTACACCCCAGCTGCGAGGTGAAGGTACCTTGACGTGAGAAGCGATGGGAGCATTTGAGTGCTTACGAGCTGAAAGTCAAGACGAGGATCCGCTGGGGTTGAGTGAAGGACGAGGAAGAGGATCGTCTGATGGCGAAGTTACAAAGCCTGGGCAGCGAGGCTGGGCGACAGGGAGCCGGTAAGTCAGAGAGGATATCCGAGCGGTGAATGAGGTCCACCTGCACCAACAGACACCTCCTCGGGTCGAGTATCAGCGTCAGATGTGCAGCTTTCTTTTTCCTGGCGCATCGAGTATGTAGGCCGTTTGAGTGCGGGGAGTCTTCGACAAGCTCGCAAGTGTTCCTTTGACGTGGAAGCGGCACCAACTGCAAGCCATGTCTCTCTGCAGTCGGGTGCGTGCGGTTGGGTCTGATGGAGCGAAAGGTAGGATTGCAAACAGCATCCCGTGACCCAGATCCGACTTCCGCGAGGACCGCAGATGACCTTGCCGGGAATTTTTGCCATGCAGGCATGGAGAACCATCATTGCACTTCCGTGGTTGGAGACACCTCCCTTGCTCATCGCCCATTCAGGGTGATGAGGCGCCCCATATTCTCTCCAACCTACGTAGTCTGCCATTGGGTGCCAGACTGTCGGGACAGACCAGGGAGGGTCATCTTTCTCCTGGCATTGCGTATCCCAACTTAGCTCGCAGCCCGTTGGCGTTGGGCGGAGGTTGCGGTAGTAGTAGGCCAAGTAGGTGGGGGCTAGCCAGGTCGCCAGGCTCCTACGTGCGCTTGAGGTTGGAGGCGCGCCGTCCCCCCTGGCTTTCAGAGTCCGAGGAAGGCCCAACAATGTGAGTTGTGGGAGGAATCTAGCTTCAAACAGGCGATAGATGCGACTGCCCTTCCGCATCGGTGCTCATATACCGACACAAGGACTAGCTCAGACGGGCGCCGCAAGTCTCTGTAGGCGGCACTGTTGGACAGTTACCGACATCTCAGTGCGCGATTCTTGGTACGGTAATGCAGAGAACTGTTTCTGATGCCAACCTGGTCCTGACCCGAGTCCGGGTTTGACCCGGGTTTGGCCAAGAGTCACGGCGGTAAGTGGGATAGTCAGTAAACGCGAGGGGCACAGCACAGATGCAGAGCGTCTGTGAGTACATCCGTACGTATGCTATCTGTCCCCAGCCTTGTCGTACCCGCGGGCTTTCGCTGAGCCAAGAGGCCGCGTATGTTACGAGAACTTGCCGCTGAGTGGTGTGCCGGATGAGATCCTGGCCTCCGGAGGGGATGCGAGGCTGTGATTGGACCTGGCGATGACAAAGGAGAGCGGAACCCGCACAGTCAGGGATCTCCAAGTCCGAGGAGGCTGCAGTACCCAGGCTGTATCGCCAGCGGGGAAGGTACATGGCACAGTGGCACAAACGAGTGTCTGCGATGGTGCGGCTGGGAGCGGTTGGCAAGAAAATGAAGCTCGAGATTGGCCATCATTTGGGACGAGGAGGGCGGGCGTGGGTAGCTTGCTCGATTTGGCCGGGGTTGATGGAGGTCCCATCTTTGGTACGGATACCATCTTGTACAACGCGATATGCCGCAGATATGTCGTAACTGACAATTGTCAATTGGTCTGTCTGTCGGCAACATAGTGGTGGGAAGCGCGCAAGTCGTGCGGGCTGCGTTCGTTTGTTGATGGCTGTTATGACAGCCGACTCCTCACAAGTCAGTTCGGGCGCATCAGCACTCGACGTCGAAAAAGACTTGATCTCGCACTTGTTGGGGGTCCTTTTCCCTTCCCTCCTGGCGCCGTGCGGAGCCGGGCCCGTACGCCGATGGCGTCCCACTCTTGCGGCAGGGGCCCCTGTCTGACGGCCCCGGCCGTCCTCTCAGAGCCTGGCAATGACGCTGAAGCCAATCTACTCTCAGCCGTATTGGTGACTCCGAGGCCCCTTCTCTCTTCTCCTCCTCTTTGAATGAAACCCTCTTGGCCTTCGGCTTGCGCGTGCCTCTATCCGCTGTTGCACTGCTCTCAGCGCTGGCTGTCAACCCTCGTCCGGTCCGCCTTCTGCAATCGCTCAGTTCAGCGCA